CGACAATGTTTGGCTACTAAAAGGAATTTACGGTAAAAAATTGCGGAAATATTATTCATTCGGTTATTGCTTTGGGGATGAAAGAAAACAGGAAAGTTGTAGTTTGAAGCTTGAATGCAGTTAGCGATAGAATGTTTTAATACTTAAGACATTGTTTTTGTATGTAACGCGCGTCGTTTTGATAAAATCAAAATATTTTTTTTTATTTTGTACGTTTATGTCTTACTTTGAAAACGTGATGGATGTGTTTATTTCCTTAAGAATGACATCTCAAACTATTTATACAATAGATTATGAACGATGCAATAGTGCTTTATAATAGATATGGAAAGATATTAGGCTTCATGGTGTACGATTTTAGTTTTTTTAGTTTTTTACAGAACTATTTTTTGAAAAGTTTGAATTTTTGAATCGATACAAAAATGTCCTATTTTGTATCAGATTCGACATCTGAAAGAAAATTAAAATACATTTGATACATGTTTTGCATAATATTAAAAGAACATTTTCCCTGACAAACTTACTACTCATAGCAATATATTCCCGATGCCCGAACTTATCTAAAACTACTGCTAAGATCATTTAAAATCCTTTTATTTTTCCTTTTTTCCTAAAAGTTAATATAGAAATAATTAGGGAAAAGTTGGAAATTGTTTTAAAAGTTATGAGGTAATCCACATATAGATCTCAGACGCTTGCCTCTTCCATCTTAATTCCTGGAGAGGGAGAAGAGGTCAGAGCAGGGAAGACGAAAATTGAAATGTAACTATCAAAACAAGTGAGGTAATTGTTTACTCTGACCGTCTTTACACTATGTATCAGTCAGTAGGGCTAATAACTTAGAAGTTATATTGGATTTTTTATAAGTATGAATTGTGAAAAGTATAATTTTTAATTTATGCCTTTTTATCCATCAAAAATTCTTATCTGGACTAGTGAAGTATTATTTTTTATGTTTTTTGTGCAGAATAGAATGAGGTTAAAGTAAATTCAAGAGGACTAATAGTTTAGAGTTTATTAAAGTTCGCATGCAAAATCTTATACTCATAATACTGTACCTATATCTCTACATACGCGTCTAGCATTGCTATCTAGAAAAACAAATATTGAATCATGTGTAGTTTTTTACGCAACCAAACTCAAGGCGATAAATTTTATAAGAGCTATAACAATTTCATACATAAAAATTGACATTCAGTAACAATTTATGTTTCTGACATTGCTATCTAAACAATCGTAACATTATTTTATATGTATTTCTTTTTTAAAAAAAAAAACATTTCAACCTGATAAACGTAGATTTTACTGCTCGAAACACATTGAAATAATAATGCAAAACAATCACTTGAAATCAAATATTTATATTTTTATCCATGCATGTTACGCATCCTTCATTCATTAAAAAATAAGATAATATTATTCAGAAGCAATTTAATTCAATTCTCATGAAAGCAGGATGCAACGAAATTATTTTAGAAAATAAAACAATGGACTAGTTAAAACCGTACGATTAATCCTTTTCATTCGATTTTCATTTTTGTTGCATCGCATTAGTGGTTATTTGAAAGCAAACTAAAACACTTGTAATAACTATTGATCGTGTTAAAAAATGTACACGCTACATTAACTTCCCAGTCTGCGCCGTCCAAACATATTTATGGCAGCAAACTAAGTAACTACTAACTTATTAATTTAACGCGTATCACTGAATATTGAGGCTCATTTCTAGCTCGCTCTGATTATCGTCTGCTGAGTTTATTTAAATCTCATAATTATTACTTCGTAACATTTAACACTTTCATCCGTAAATCATGTATTACTTAAAGAAGCTTAAAATTGAATGACCGCCATCATATGTCTTTTTAAAACTTGTTTTAGATAGTCATGAAACTATGTAAAATTATGGAGTAACGAAAAGCATATGAAGATTTGTGTAAGTTTATAAAATTGCAAAGCATTTTATTTCTTATTATTTCTAATATTATTTTGGTTCTTATCAATATTCCTAAAGAGAATACATATTTTCTTTCTGAAAAAAAATTTTTAGATTTTTTTTTAATATAAAAACATTTTAGTTTGTGCCTATAATACTAAAATTTAAACTGCTTAAAGTACATTTTGTACTCAATACTCCCATTAAAAGAATTAAATATAACCCTAATTTTTTATAAAAGTCTCATCTAAAATAAGGATGAAAAAAATTATATTTCTCTTACAAATTAGCATTTACCTAATACCTCTTTATTATAAATTTTTATTTAATGTTAAGTTGTTTGCATTTTTTCTAATACTGGACTTTTCTTCTTAATCATTTTTTGTTATTATCACTTTAAAAAACCTTCTTAATATTAAATCTTTAAAATCGATTTCTATTTTTTCTTACAACGTAGGCTTTTCTTAGGAATTTGATTTTCACCTTATTAATTATTCAAATCTCCTCTAGTGAATAAAGTTGTTAAAGTGAGTAAAGTCTTATTAAAAGCAAACTCTGATGAATAAATAAATTCCATTAAATGCAAAAGCATGGAATATTGCAAAATGGCAAAAGTTTGGAATATTTTTTTCAAAAATGAAACTCTAATAAACTGCCTGTATACTTTAACGCAGTAAATATTCACAAATACATAAAAAAAATGTTTACTGGTTGCGTTGGAATCATCGTAAAAACCCAGACAGCCAACGTACTCATTGCTCCCAAAATCATTAAAATATTCTAAACTCTTTAGAAAAGAACCCTTGAGACTGATGTAATGGATTCTCGCAGAACAAAAAGTCTTTGATGTTCTGAAACGACCCAAGACACCACTTTTCGGAACTTTTCTTACTTAAGGAAAGTCGCTAATTGCTTTCTGCGTTAAGACAGAGTGCCCCAGTTATCTGGTTCATCTAAATCTGCAATCTCTGCGACATTTTTATTGGCTCAATTCCAAGATGAATGGAATATCTATTTGTCTCAATGTTCCTTAATAAAATTGTCGGCACATCTCACAAATGATACGGGGGTCCGGTAAAGGAGATATATTAAGGGAGACGATAAATTAGTCGAATCGTACTGGATTCTAATTTGCTGTAAATTTTATGGAATATTTATAGAGCTTTCTACGCCTTTACTGTTCTCATAAAATATCACCTAAAAATTGTCTCTTTTTTTTCCTTAAAAAAAGAAGATGATGATTTCAAAATTAATTTATTAATTTACCTTATCATTCATATAACGAGCTAAATTTAAATGTTTAAAAAATAGAAATTAAACGTGTCCATGCAATTCAAGAGTAAAAAATACACAATGGACAATGCTTCGCTGGTATAATTAGCAATGTTAAAATTGTGTTGAAGTAAGGGTCAAAAATGGAAATTTTTATTTATAAAATCCCCTTAAATTTCTGAACTTTTAGTCCGGTGCTATGGGCTCATTTTTGGCTTCTTCCAGTTCAGTGAAAAAATTACATGGTAAACAATACTTTCGCTATTTATTTATATAGTAATGTCGGATAAGTAACTAGGTACAAGTCAAACATTCTACTTTTTTTTACACAAAATCATTATAACATTTAAACTATTAATCTTATGATACCAAACTTGATATCATTCAGTTCAACGTAAAAAAAATAAAATCTGATGTCTTACTTGCCTTATTAAAAATACTCATTTCTTGTCCCGTTCCTCCCCAAAAATCAATCCGTTCCCTCCCCCACCCAACCCCCCACCCTCAAAAAGAAGAATCGTACACTGCAGAAAGATACCAGACCAAATTAAGGTAAAAAGTACCAGAACTGAGGGGGCCGGTACTTTTTACCATTAAAACCTTTTTTAGCGGAACATTTACGGAACAAAAAGTCTGATATACTGTAGTTTTTATAGTAATAATTGCAGTGAAATCACTGAATCACTCAAATTAAATAAATATTACTGTAAAAATTACTCCTATAATTTATATCGGTATAGCATACAACTTAATGTATGCCACTGACAATGTTATAGACATCAATGACAATGACATCAGCATTCTTATCATTTTCAAAAATCTTAGCTTTTAATCTTAAGAAGATTTTCGCTCATTTCTGAGGAATTATTTACAAAATGAAAAAAAATCTCGAAATCTTTTAGTGGTGTCTTATATTTATAAGAAAATGGGCCTACGTATTATATTTGATAATTGTTTTAAAAAATTATTATTAATACTTCAATCCTACAACTAACCAAATAGTATTTTTAAGTTGTCATTCAAAGAGGCACAATTTATATATTTAATTTTTTTTATATATATTTAAATACTTAATATTTTTATATATTTAATTACTTGAAATGTATAAAAATATACTATTAAAAATTGTATATGCTATTATATATAGTATATAATAGTATACTAGTATATACTAGCATATAATATATATAATATTTAATATACTAGTATATAATGCTAGTATATATAGTATATACTATTATATAATATATACTATTTAAAAACTGTTAATGTATAAAAATAATTTCACTTAATTTTAAAAATATTGAAGCGAAACTTTAGGAGAGAAATGAGGTTTTCCTCTTTCTTCTACTAAATTTTTTTCTTTTTTTCTTAGTTTGACTGACATACACACATTTTACAAATTTATAAAGTGAACCAGAATATTTCTATTATCAAAGTCTAACAAAGCCACTTAAAAATGCACTTGCAAGACCACTTAAAAATGCGAGAATTTTGAATTGCTGTGGCATCATTTCTAAAAACTTTTGCAGCAGGAATTTAAAAAGATTAAATATTAGAATTCTAGAAGTTTTCATCAATTCGTTTCTCATAAAGAAGTTTTCTGAGAAACTGTAAGTTAAGAAAATGTAATTTACATAGTAATATAATGCTGCTAACTTCATCGTCGCTAACTTGTGTAAGTGATTGCAAATCGAATCTAATAATGCATATTATTAAACAAATGAATGCATATTATTAAACTAATGTCGTGTGCATATTATTAAATTAATGAAGAATTTTTCTTTTTTTGCAGATTATACAAAATTGAATTATTAAAGTTTGTCTTGTTATGAGGGCACCCTAGCTATGAATGTCTTCGAAGGTTAATAAAAATGTAGCCTGCAATGATGGAACAGGTCGAAACTCCTCGGGTGAGAACATTTCATTATTGATGATAAAATAAATAAATAAGTGCTAAAAACCAAACATGCATAAAAATAGATTAAGCGTGTAATATAATAAAATATTTTTACATAATCAACAATGTTTAAGAAAGAAAAAAATAAGATTTTAACTATAAATAGAGTTCCGAAAAGTTAAAACAACTTAACCGTTTCATACTGTTCATCTCTGAATTGTCGAATTGGTTACAAGAAAATGGAATTGGAGTTATACTCATGTTGAGTTTTTATTTATCTTTTTTCTTTTTTTGAACAGTGTAGCTTTGATGACCATTGCACGTATTGCTTCAAATTATTATATTTTTCGGTCTTTATGTAACACTATAAATACGTAATTAAAAATGTTTACATCTAAAATACAGGATAAGCACATTTTAAATAATATCATTTTTATTAAATTTTACTTATTACTATTATTTTTATTATTATTTTTATTAAATTTTATTTATTATTATTATTTTTATTATTATTTTTATTAAATTTATTTATTATTATTATTTTTATTATAACGTTTATTATTATTACTATTATTATTTTTCTTATTATTATTATTTTTATTAAATTTTATTTATTATTATTATTTTTATTATAACTTTTATTATTATTATTTTTTTATTATCATTATTATCATTTTTATTATTATTATTATTATTATTCTACATTTACTGGCTAATGTGAAGAAAAATATGCAGTGTGGATGCTTAATTTGTCTAATTTCCATTTTTATATGTAATTCCTTTTTTTTTTTCTTTTGAAATATTATTCATGATCCTCAAGTGTTTCATGTTTGTCTTTATGTTATGTTTGTTTCATGTTTGCTTGCAGTTGGTCTACACCTAGATTAACTTTTAAATATAGGTTGTTACTTATTTGTTTATTCATTTTGAAAAACAATATTTTTTAAAAAATATATCATGTATATTTTTAAATTTGTACAACTTGAACAATTGTTTTTGGCTTTAGGTTCTTCTCAGTAGATAGCAGCACCACAGTTAGTTTCTTGTATTGTTTTCGAATACAAAATGCATGAAGTTCAGTGACGACATCTGTTGTAATTTCTATAAACTGATTTTACTGAAATTGTTCACAACAAATTTAATTATTTACAACTATTTCTCTAACAATCATATGCTTATTTTCTTAATTTATTATTTTATTAAAATCATGCAAGTCATTTATTTTCTTTCCAGCAAAGAAACAATACAAAAAGTCGATAACTCTTAGAAATGATTTATATGGCATAACAAGTAAAATCAATATAAATTATCAAATAACATATTAATTGCTAACATATTTATTGTTAACATATTAATTGTTGTTGTTGACTCAGTATTCTCTTTAACTGTTGACTCAATAATTTTTACATTATTAAAACATAATTAGTAGTGGTTTTATACCACCGCTGCAATATTCAAGAATGTGCAAATTGCATGATTTTTATTTCGGATGTACCCAAAGATATCTTGCTCACTTAACTCGACGAGGCTAAGTGTGTGTTAATGTTATGTAGCCCTAACTTAAAAATTTTACCTAAAACTGTTATTTTAAAAACTGTTATTTTGTTATTATAAATTAAATTATTCCTTCAGAAGTCACTATCAATTATTTTAACCACCAATATTGCTCAATGATAAATTAAACTCAGTTGAATTATTTAAAAATTTTTTTCATGACACTTTTAGATACTGGGCAGATTTGGACCCATAAGAGATTTTGGGTTAATGCTTTCTCAACATGAAGCGTTGAGACGCGCTACTTTGTTGAAACATCGGAAGGTATCAACTCAGCTGAAAGTAAGTTCAGTCATTTTTAATAAAATAATTCTAATAGAATCAAACAGTAAAAAAAAAATATTACCGATCAATTTATGGTAAAAAAGTACCAGCTCTCAGGATACTAGTAATTTTTGCCGTAAAATAATTGTTCAAAGTAAAATTTTTCGAGAATAAAAATGTGTTATATCGTTATTTTTACATAAATATTTATTGTAAAGGAATTTTCATGGTATCTCAACACGAAGCATTGAGACGTTCTACTTTGTTGAAACATCGGACGATATCAACTCAACTAAAAGTAAATTCAAGTATTTTTACTATAAAAATTCTAACAGAATCAAACAGCTGAAAAACCCTACTATCACTGTGAAAAAAATTCACTGTAAAAAAATTCCGGATCAATTTATGGTAAAAAATATCAGCCCTCAGAGTTTCAGTAATTTTTTCCGTAAAATCCATCTTTAAAGTAAAATTTTACGAGACAAGATTTGTTAGATCGTTATCTTTGCATTAATATTTAATGTAACATCACTGGATTACTATAATTAAATAAATATTACTTTAAAATTGCAGTAAAAATAGATAAAACTACAAAATACATTTCATGGATGTCGTGCTCAGGTTGTCAGTACTTTTTAGCACAATTTGATCCGGAATTTTTTTCAGTGTAATTATAGTTTTTAACTATTATTGATGGGAAAAAAATTAGTATCATCTTATGAAGCCCTCATTTGAATTGTTGTCCAAATTGAATATATTAAGTTAAGCTTACCTTCTGCAAGTGATATTTATACTAGCTTACTTTAAAACTAGTTCAGCTTCAGATTGTTTCTGCTAAAAACAGAGGACAACTTTAATGGATTTTGATAGGAAAAGAAGTACACTCATTAGATTTAAATATATTCTGCAGTAACTCAAAATGAACAAAGATGGAGTTGAACTACTATTCAAATATGACCATTAATTAAAAGCGTATTAATGAACAGTGACAGCATATAAAATCGATGTTTTTATAATCCTTGAAAACATTTTTTTAAAAATTTATATTTTTGAGGGGTGTGAATTGCCACAATTTGAGTTACAACGAAGTATTCGTAATTATGAAAAAAAAACATTATATTGTTTAATTCTAAATCATCTTGTATTTGTTTAAAAATGGAACAGTATCAGGTAAAGTTTCAATTAACATTAATTATGAACCTGACACTATTTTTTCTGAAGTTTTGATGCTGTGACTTATTATTGTTTCACATAAAAAATCTTCCATTTACTATTGAACATATAAATGACTAGTATATTTTTTCCTCCATAAAAATTGCTTTCTAAATGTTTTTAACTTTCATTGATATATTTTGTTTAAAACTTTCATAGCTAAATGTAATGTAAGAATTTTTAAAAAAAATTTCTGAATTTAAATTTTTTTCTTTTAATAAGTTTCATAATTTGCATAAGTTTCAGAAAACCCCATGTTTATATGTAATCACGTTCTAAAACTCATAATTTTTTTAATAGTTGGACATGGTGCAGCGGCAGCTATCTGACCTCCGGAGGACATCTCCAGATTCCGACAGTGATCGTGAATTCTACAGACAACAGATGACAGAACTTTCCAATGAACTTCACGATCTGGGTTCAACCCTCGATCGTGTAGAAAGAAACGCTTTTTACGCCAAACGTCGAATGTTGAGACAAAATGGCTTGGATATCTCTAACAGTGATGGAGCCATATCTTTGTCTTCTTCACACCCGGCTCTCTATTCCTCTTCAGAAAATCTGAGTCGAACTTCATCCAGAAGTAGTCTAAAATCTAAAGTTTGCCACTTGATGTCTTCTCCAAACTTTAAAATGAAAAAGAAACATTTGTGGGGAGAACTGAGATCTGTGGCTTCACTTTCATCCCGTAAGCGAGTTTGAGTTCTTTGAAAATATGTATAGAAGCAGCAAGAAATTGTCAACAAAATATATTCTTTTTATATTTATTAAGAATCTACTTATTTATAGTTATCGTGGAATATATAAAATTTCTATGCTCAAAAAACAATTATATTCGAGAACGCCGAAATCTATGTGATTTTTCAAAGTCACTTAACATGTTTTCTCACTTAATTCTTCAATCTTTATATGAACTATGAACATATTTATCCGAATATGAATAATCTGAAGTTGCATGAATTAATAAAAAATCGTGAATTTCATAGAAGGAAATAAGAACAGATACAGAACTTTTAAAATTCCTTGTGCAAATCGATGTAAAAAAATTAACAGAATTGTTATTAAAAAAAAATTAAACCTCGGATTAAATAAGAAAAATGTTTTAAAAAATTTAAACTAAAAACGATACGACTTAGCGTCATAAAAAATTCATTTGTTACGAAATATTAGCGGCTTGAGGAAATGTAAGCTAATGCCAAAATAATCATGCATACCTGTAACCATCTTTTTTTAATAGAACGATTCTATTTATGAATGAATTCTTAGCAGGCACTACTTCGGACTTAATTCGTTTAGAAGTACGAATTCATTAAAATAGTGAATCAAAGATCACTCTCACTAAATTTTATTTGACATGACGAATTAAACATAATTAAATATTTAAGAACGAGCAAGCAACTCCTTTTTTTATTAATCAGAGAATGCTAGCAGACGTTAATGGTGTTATCATATACAAATATTTTATGAATCAGCAGTTTAAATAGAAAAAACGCCTAGCTGACATGGAAACAATGGAAGACAATAAAAAAAATCCTTTTTCAAACGCCTCTCCCGAGCGATATAATTGAAATTTTTGAGCGATTTTTAGAACTGCGGGCCTAAAATTGCCCCTTTCAATCACTGTCAGAATTTCAGAAAGCTAACTCAAATGAATCTGGAGTTATAAGAGAAATACACACACACACACGAAGAGACACACAAAGTTTTAATTATTACAGATGATAATGCCAGACTATTTTTTTAAGAAATTGAAACAACATGTATTTAGAATTGAAACCACAGCCTTTTTAAACTTCGAATTATACATCATGTGTGTTGGGGCTCAACACATTATGATAATTTATGTTCATCATATATTTTAGTTGCCCAATACTTCTATTATTCCTAAACCATATTGAATGTATTTTTCCGACATACTGACTGAAACTTAAAAATTCATACCATTTCAGTTAATATCAAGTCTGGTTCTCCCAGCAGCGAAGAAGACGGTTCTTCTGGGAAAGACACAAAAGCTTGGAAAGCTCCTTTGAGATTTTTAGGAAAAATGGTAGATTCCAGATTTCGAAAAAAATTCTGGAATCCAGCTAAAAGGACGAAATCTTGTGATAACATTGTCGACAACAACAACGGGGATGAACCTGGTGCACTCACCAACTTTGAACTTAAAAACTGTAAGAGCTTTGATTCGCCCGAAGTAAAATGCCATATCGATTCTTCATCATCATCTTCCTCTGAATCCAGTGACGAAGAAGCTGAAGATGACTGGAAGTTAAAGCCTATTCCTAAATACACATGTAAAGCACCAGTCATGAGAAGAATTTCCAGTAATAATAATAATAATAACAATAACAACAACAATAATAATAACGTGAGAGGCCAGGTAGATCCAGCAATTATGGCAGAAATAGAGGTAATTTTGATTCAAGTTTTTTTTCATATTGAACTGAATTATAACTGAATTAAACAAACTTTTAAGCAGAATTTTTAAATTTTTTTCTTTTTTTTTTTTGCATTGAAATTATTTTAAGTGCTCTCTGTTACCAAAATATGGACCCGAACGGCAACTATAATTTAGGGATCAGTATGCTGACTTTCTAATTTAATACTAATAAATATTCCGTTTTAAAAGCGCAATATTAACTCATCTAAATTAACTACAAATTTTACTTCGTTCCTAATTGCCCCTTTACCAAATTGCAATTACATATATAATGAATATAACCAAATGCATTTCTTTAAGCCAATTTAATGGATAGTTTGTATTTTAATTCAGGAAATTAGTTTTTAAATGCTGTTATTAAGTCTTCTAAGTAAGTGTCTGGTCTCTGCGTAAATATATGCCTAGTTTAAAGAGTTGGTGCAAACGCCTCTATTTTTGCTGTCCTTTTTTTCTCTGGGTACTTTTACAGATTTTCACTAGACCCTTAAATGATCGACTGGATATGCCAGCTGCCCTCAGATCATTCAAATTAAAGGATGAATTGATATATAAGTCCCCTTATAATCAAGACCCTCACCCCCCAGCCATCAAATTTTTCTCTACTCCTAGAACTACTCTGAATATTCAGCATTCGGTTCCTTTTAGTTCGAAACTCTTTATAAATCATTCGAATTTTCTTTATAACCTTCCCCTGTATAGGCGGTCGATTTCCTTCATTTCTTAATATAAACTATGCTGAAAGCGATAAGGATTAAAAGTCTTCAGCGATAACTTGACTTTTCCCATCCATTGGGTGCACCTAACTAGGAGCCGAACGGAATTTTCCACCACAATCCATCCCTTTCAATAAATCAAATTTTCTGTATACAGCGAGGAAAAAAAGCTATTTTATTTATTTTGCATAAGCACAAAACGCCTATTTTGTTTAAAAAACATAAAATAAAGAATTTGTATCAAAATTGACCCTTACGGGTATTTAAACGCAATTTTTGTTAAGTTATTATTGCATGTGGTATTACTCTAGAATATCCACCTACATAGATGGACTGATTGTTAAGACACGGTTCCCAGCAGATCACCGAAGTCAAGCATCACTGGTTGCGGTCAGTGTGCGGGTGGGGGATCTCTTGGATTAGTCTGCGTAGGTGCCGAGAGTGTGCGCTATTGGTCCTCGTTAAACTGTTCTACGGTAAAGTGCTCGACTTCGCGTGCATATCGTCGTGCTACCGAAGAGGGGGTGCCATCCCCTCTGCAGAGGATCAAAATTGTGACGGCATGTCTTCGGATCATCCTCAGGGATGTTTCCCAGACCGTCACCAATAGCTCATTGTGCAGCTCTAGTGTGACGTAAATGAACTACAACAACAAAAACATAGTTTAAGCGGCTCAATTCTTTCCAACGGGAACAAAGTGCAATCGACGAAAAAAATTAGATAAACAAACTAGTAGTAGGATGTAAAGGAAAAAGTTTGATCACAGCGAGTTCATTTAAGTTCTGGCAATCCAACATAATTTGCAAACTTCACCCAATTTTTAGACCTCCCAGATAAGACCCAAGTCTAAAACTCTTGATCTAAATCTAGGCACGTAAGAAGACACAATCCGTTTTATTTTATTTTATTACCAGCGTTGAACAGCTTATCCAATTCTGAGTTTACGCCTATCAATGTTCAACTCCGTAACCTTTCAATTTTGAATCCAACCCAAATGACAAGGGAACTCTTGAATCCAGCATAGAGACAAGCTAACCTTCATGGAGAACTATTTGATGAAACTAACCCACATTTTCGCTACATGGCGAGAACCCCCCATCCCAAGGTTACCTCTATGGCAAGGGCATTCGAAAGCATGATCCGTTTACCTCTGAGGATAGTTTTCGTCGCCGTGTGATCGTTGCGAGCCGTGAGCAGAATTTGTATCAACCAGCTACCACTGGGATTTTATTTTATTTTATNCCCACGGCCTCTTGGATATTGGCCCAGCACCCTACCGACCAGGCTATCCCGGCCCTCTACCACTGGGATTCAAACCTGTGGCAAGGTATTGGGAGGTGAATGCTTTATCCTTTCAGCCAACGCGGATCTATACTCTTATGCAAGTCCTTCATGACGCCCACTTACACATATGGAGAAGATACCAATCCCATTCAAATGCTTTGTCAAATGGTTGCGTCCCCAGTGTATACCCATCCTTAATCTTAAGTTTGCTCCAACTTCCTCCCATTGATTGTGGCGAAATATTTTCCAAATGTCTCAAATATTGCAAGGATTTGCCTATTGGTTTTACTGCTTGATTAAATTTGAGAATACCCATACTTTTCAGACGTCCAACAGCATTTTTCTGGAAAATATAAAAGCAAAAGGCTTTTCGCTCCCTTTTCTTTTGCAGCTAGCTAGCTAACTGCAAAGCCGAATAGTCACTTTTTTAATACCACTAAAACATGTGAAATTTAATGAATATTTAGAACGTGAATTATATTGCCTTCCTTATTTATGTGTAATTTAATATCTTTAGTAATTCTGTCTTTTTTTCTTTACTTAATTGGATTTGTTTTAATCAGTTTCATTGTTTTCTTACAGGACTTTGAGAAAATGGCTGCTCTGTACATTAAGCAACATTCTTAGCGGAATTTCAAAACTACTGCTTTTACCTTTTAAGAATATATTGAGAATGAATTTATATATTTCATCATATTCATCGTCAATATTGTAATATTAGTGATTAAAATCTTATTTAATTAGCTAAAATTTTCCAAATATTAAAACCAAAATATGCAGTTTGTACCTTTGTCTCACCAAGTGGAAAACTTTCTGTGAGAAAAGGCAAATTGTTTTCCAGAATAAAGTTTTTTCTAAAACGTTTCATAAAGTGAGATCTGAGACATAACTTTTAAGAGTTTTTTCATTACGAGAAATACAATTCAGTTTTTAAAGATTGGCTGAGTCATGTTCCAAGAATAAATCAAGTGGGAAATTATTTAGTGTAACAAAATGTGTTATAAAATAAAAGAGGAAGCTCCATTATTAATAGGTAACATTACTTGATAGGATGCTAGTCTAGTAATGGCAAATCAATACGTCCCATCATCAAATGATGAGTGTTACTAGTTCACAAATACCAAACTTTCCTTGCTGGTTGACTATCATAGTACTAAAGTAACATTTTCCATCATGACAGGATGCAATTTGTTGGTCAAAGAATTTCTAACATAACATGCTGGTAGACCATCAATAGTAAAATATCATCTTTCAATATGAAATGATGGAAGTTTTTTGGTCCCTCAAAATCCATTACCACATGATGGAAATTGTTGGATGATGGTTACCATTATATAGTATTGGGCCATCTGGAAACCAACATAAACCATCAAAATGTCTTGATGGTTCAGTCAAAAATTTTGTCTTGGTTATAGTCATAATAGTTTTGTAAACGTTTTTCATTTTTTGTGTGGTTGATTTGTTGCGTTTCAAAACCAACATAATATATATTTATAAATTATAATATAATTTAAATTTGTTTGACAATACAATTCAATTTGTAATAATATATAATAACATTTGTAATAAATATAATAAATAATAAAATTTGTCATAAATATTATATATAATAACATTTGCAATAAATATAATAACATTTGTGATAAATATATTTTAATTTAAGCTTGGTAATACAACTTAATTTGAGTTTATGATAAAATTTAAGTTTTATAATGCAATTTAATTTGGTTTCATAACATAACTTAAATTTGAAAAACTCTTTAAAAAAAGATGTACAATTTAAATAAATATTCTCTCTTTTTGAATCATTCTAGAAACTATTATAACCATTAAAAAATCTTCCTAATTAAATTAAAACATAATTTCCATCAATTTAAATTTTTATTTAATACTATGTGTCAAATTTACAATTAATTTCCATTTATTACAGATTTTCAGCGCAGTATATATTTTTATTTTAAAAATCGTTAAATTTGAAAGTATTTTCTTCTTTTTTTTAAATTAAACTAATAGCAATTCCTGTAAGATTATTTGAAAATCAATGTTTTTAGTGTTTAATACTTCTAGTACAGCCATTTTTCGTATTCACTTTATAAATGTTGTAAAGATTTTTTATATGGAGTTAAATAAAATGATTTTATAAACTAAAATGTTATCTTATTACTGGAGATGTTTTTTTTTTCTCGAGTTTTAACACAATTGGATCAGAATGAGTTTTATTCTTATATTCCATACCTCGTAAATAAATATTTAAAAAGAGGTAGTTACCTAAATCTTCATCAATTTTAAATTTAAGCTGCACTTTTCACCGAATAACCAAGATACATTTTTAATTAGAAGGAGAAACAAAACGGTAAGTAAAGTAGAAACAACATATACAATTACTATATACAATATTAGAAGGTATGTGACGACCAACTGGTTCACCTATGTGAACTCACTGCTTCGCGGCTCCTGGTTGTTTCCTACTGCTTCAACAGCTTTTCTCTGAGTTCTCGTCGTTAGAATTCTAAGTGCAAAGAGGAAGGTTAGAAATTAATCTCGGAGTCGTCAGTGGCCTGTTGGTTCGCTTACACAAATGTCCACGCAGTTGTCCACCTACACGTTCTGACATACGTTCACGTTCTGTCACACGTTCATCCACCTACACACCACCTCAGTTCTTCACATAGGAGATAGAATCGGCAGTGCTACGCTAAACTCTTGGTAGTAAATGTTTGGAACATGATGTTTAGAATTACTTTTGATCAATTAATTGTCATCACATATCGAAATAAGATTTTATCTTAATTTGATAAGGAATATGTAGACCTAATTTGAGACTCCTATTTTGGTTGGAACGTGTTACTTAGCATTACTGTCAGTTAGAGTAAGTGCCCCAATAATTACAAAGGGTCGTTATCTTGTTAATATGCATGTAATGAATTTTTAAAAAAAGCACAAGTTTCATGTAATTCTTTTTTTTTTTTTTAATCGAAAAATCGTAATATTCTAGGTTGAAATTTTAAAAAAAAATCGCGATATATTAAAGATAAAGAGAAAAATATCCTAAAAAGTGCATTATTCTAGATTAATATTGTTAAACTTTTTATTTTAGTAATTAGTTACGACGTACTTTTATAAATTTTAAAAATTACATAAGAGTATTGCCCTGCTAGTGTTGTCATTTGTTCAAACAGCATGTTAAAGTGCTCGGAGTGCAAAAGGTTGAAACCAAATTCAAAATCGACCAACAAATGAACTCAAATTGACAATGTATAGATATACAGGGTGCGGCAGAAAAGAAAAAAAAAGTGACCAATTCTTTTAACATAACTGCGTTAAAAATAAATAAATTAACATATAATAATACGAGTAAACTTTTTCTAATATTTTTTTTCTAATAATAAGCACCTTTTGCAGAGGTGCAAACACTTATCGAAATTTTCAGCGATGGGCCACAAGTCTTCGACCTTTAATCTATTCTGTGTCTGTAATCGTAAGGATTGTTTTGAACCTCTAAACTTTAGCGTGGGCTAGTGCAGGCACTAGACTCCATCCACAAAAACCAAAGGTATTTTTCTGCTTGCGCAAATTCTGCTAGAAAAGGTAAAACATCTTGACACGTTTCAGAGCTTGTTTTTGTTAATATTTAGAGCAAAGATGAGGCTTTCATAAGGAAAATATTTGCGTTTTGGCGTTAAGCTCGGTTAACAGTTAACTTAGCTAACAAAAGTAACAAAACGTCACAAAAGTAAACGTTGATTAAATGTCCATTGCCGATTTGCTTGAAGCGTCTACAGACCACATCCTATCGTTCTGGGAGTTATGATCCTGTTGAATGGTAATGGGCTTCTCATCAGTGAAAAAGAATCTCTTCCAGTGCTGATTTGGGGCCCATCGCAAAAGTTTTTGCCATCATTGAAGCCACACGAGTTTTTTCTTCAGTGAGAAGTTAAACTTTGCTTTTTAACTTGTAAAGTTTCAATCTAAGAACTGTTTTTGCCAATAAAGCCCAGAATTTAGGGCTTTATTTGGAACGACAGTTGCATCAGGCACTATTTGCTGAGGCACATAAAACATACGAGCGATTTCACACTGTCGTTTTCATAGCTTAAACAATTTGAAAATATCAGATCTTTTGGTTAACACTGTGACATTGAAAAAAAGTAACAAAAAAAAAACAACAAATTAACTACGATATATATATGTAAAGAAATAAATACGCGAATTAAAAAGGAAGTAATTAACTTCTATACTATGATGCAATAACTTTGTCCGAAGGACTTTTTTTACCGCCATTCTGTATATATATATGTTAACATCTTATAATAAAAAAGTTTTTTCATCAAAATTCAATTTCTACTATTAGTTCAAATTTTCAGTCGTTCATAAAATACTTTTCATTCATCCACTCAAGTTCAAATACATTTATTTAAACTTGTAGTGGGTGACACTTGATGTTAATACAGTTTTTAAAAATATTAATTCATTATTTAAATTTAATTCATTATAAAAATTTAATTAATTAATTTTAGTTTTATATGAGAAAAAAAATTCTCATAGATAAGATATTTAGCAGGGTATAAACTTAGGAATAAATATTTTGCCACTTAATATTCTGATTCTGTCATATGTATATGTTACGGTGAAACACCGAAATCTGGAGAATGTCGACATTCATCGGTGAATGTCAACATTCACGTAGTCGCTTGGTGTATGCCCGAAATATTTGCTAAATACCCTTATTTCTGACTCTCACCGGTGAATGTCAACAATCACATAGTCGGGTGAATGTCCGAAATATTTGTTATATCCAATTTTATATTAATTTATTCGTTGATATTATTATATTTATTTGATATATTTATATTTATTCTATATTTTAATACTTACTGACGATAGATTAGAAGAAACATCAGNAAAAAAAATTAGATTTTGAAAAATGTATGGGAAGTTTTGAAGCTAGTTATTATTGGAAATATTGTTTGGGACATGCCAGGAAAATGACATTTTGATATTCAGTTAAATTTTTTAAGTATACAAAACAGTCAATGCTAGTGCAAAGTCATTTTAAAATGCTAACAGCAATGCTATTTATTTAATTTTTAAAAAAAAGAGTTCTTTTAGTATTATAGTATTATATCTTGGAGCAAGGGACAGTGAATTGTCATGTTTCGTGAGAATCACCAATATACATATTTATATTAATTGTAATTATTTAACAAAAAGTAACTAAAATAAAATATTTCTTTGTTGATCTAAGAGGGAATTGACTAAAATTTTTTTTTTTGTATTACTTGTTTTTTCATGATGATGAAAAATCATCTGAAAATAGACCACATGAAGCAAAACCGCCTCGGTTATCCCAAATTTCACTCCCATGCCACGCTTTTTACTGACGATATTTCTGTTGTAATTACTTCAGTCACTGTGTTACCATTATTTCTTGAAATCAAAGTTAGAGAGAAAATGTTCTTTTGTAGTGGTTATAGGCTTGCCGCATTTTACATCCTTTTTGTGGTTAAGGGAAGACGGAAATTCTTGAAAAAAACTCCTTTCCTAACTGTTAAAATAAATGAATGTACGCCCTCCCTTTCTTTAATTGTAAACTTACATTTTTCATATTAATAATGGGGTCTTTCACTCTTAAATAATGCTTAAATAATACCGCTATATTAACAATTAAATACTCATTTATTGTGTTTTGAAACTTAATAAAAACAAATAGTGGGGGAACTCTTTCCACTGCAAAACTCTGTGAGGTTAGGACACGTTCCACCGTTGCTTAAGGATATTACATTTTGTAGAAAGTTTGTTGCCTGCTCTAGATACTGAACGTTAAATTTGCATTTGAAAAGGACAAAATTTCAAATTGAATAAAA